CGGGCTAGGGTGGGAGGTGGTTCAGAGACATCCATCTTCATGCCCAACAGGAGCCAACTCACACAACATCTAAAGGGAGTTTCCCTTGCAGCCTCACAAGTCACGTTCAGAGCAGGGCTCACCTCACAACAGCAGGAAAAGAAATATTGATGTGAGTGGAGTTGGGCCCAAGGGACCACGCAGGCTGACAGCAACGAGAGTTCCCAGCCATTTCCTTTGCTCCTAGGCGCACGCTATGGGAGACCCACAGGAACTACCGTCCGTGCTGTGGCCATGAAAAGAGCATGTTTTTCTTGCGTTTTCTGTTGCCAGAGGCTTCCAGACACAGACACAAGGTTCTATAAGTTGCACAGACTTAAGAAAAGGGCATGTGTGAAGGAGTTGGATTTATTTACTTCTGAAGGCAAATTACCTTTGTATTACAACTCAAGGACTTTTTCCTGCAGTGTGTTCTTGCCTTGCAAAACAGTCTTTGAAAAGCATGTTGTGTGGCTCACCTGTGTGCAGGATTTGCATTCTAAGTTGAAGAGGGAAAGAATGCATTTACGCACAAATTTGAGGACAGATGGACAAAGACACCACTGAAGGAGTCACAAGGCTGGTGCTTAGATGTCCTAGGAAGTGGAAAGATACGCATTTTATTTTATTTAATTTTAAGACTTATTTTTTTACTGAAAAGGCAGATTTGCCGAGAGAAGGAAATATAGAAAAATCTTCTATTTTCTAGTTCATATCACAAAATGCCTACCATAGCCAGAGATGAGCTGATCTGAAGCCAGGAGCCAAAAGCTTCTTCCAGGTCTCCCACATGGGCACAGGATCCCAAGGTTTGGGCTGTCCTTGACTGCTTTCCCAGAATACAAGCAGGGAACTGGATGGGAAGTGTAGAAGCTGGGACATAAACTAGAGCCCATATGGATTGCTGGCACTTGGAGGTGGAGGATTAGCCATTTGAACCATTGGGTCAGCCCCCAAAATGTATATTTTAGAGCCAAGTGAACCTAGATTTTCATTCATGACTGGGTCCCTTCGGACCACTCCCATTATGTCAAGTATAATCTATGATTGTGATTCTTAAAGAAAACATCTGGAGCTCTTCTCTTCCAAGAAATAAACTAATCAAGCACTCTGATGTGGTATGTGTGATCTGTATTTTAAATTTCGGCCTAAATTGGAGGTAAAGAAATGAGAAGTTAAAGGAAGCAGGAATGCTGCCTACAATTACATCTACAACTACTGCTTCATAGTGCGTGCACGCTTTTACAGCCCTAAATTTGTTTGCACATTTGATCTCGTCTCTTTCATGGAGACATTCCAACAATCTCTGGATAGAGGTCTTCACACATTTTATACCAGGGACGCTTACATGTGCAGAGTAGGTTGGGCTAACCAACATCTCCTTTTTGTGAAGGGTGCCACGTAGTGATGGGTACTGTGAATTGATGCCACACGGAGAAATTGGCATTGTTTGCACAATGCTAACGGGCAGCATCTATTTGCCTTTCTCGCCACGCTGCCTGGTCTTACTCTTACTCATTCCTCAAGGTGAACTTGATAGGTGGGTAATGAGATACACTAAAAATTTTATGGAAAAGAAATTGCAAGTTCTTTAATAAACCAGGAGCCAGGGTCCCAAGGCCTGGGGCCACCCTTGCGCCATCCTTGCTGTTTTCTCAGGCCATTAACAGAGAGTTGGATCGTAAGTAGAGTAGCTGGGACTTGAACAGGTGCCCTCATGGGATTCTGGCACGACAGGTGGAGGGTTAACTTGCAATGCCACTGCTCCAGCCTCAAGAAGTCTCTTTCAAATCCAGCAACAGAAAGCAAATGTCTGGGAAGCAGCAGTTCTGTCAGGTGTTGGTGTTCCTGTCTCCCACTTGGGAGACCTGGGTTGAGTTCTTGACTCGTGGCTTTGGCCCAGTCAGGCTGCAGAATTATAGGCCTTTAGGGAGTGAATCAGTGCCTGGAAGATCGTTCCCTCTCCTTCTTCTTTGTCTTCCTGTATCCATCTGTCCTTCAAATAAGTAACAAAAGGAAAAAAAATCCAGATGACAGATGACGTGGTATGGGAGTAGAATTGGGAGTGTTTCTGCTGAAGGTGCCTGTGTATCTATCTTGAATTAGAATCAGATTACTTTATTGAGCTCATCAGAAGAGGAGATGTGTAAGACTGGTTTGAAATTCACTTTATCCAACACATGTAACCAATGTATTTAATTAACACATGCAGGATTTACTTGAAGCATTGAGGATGATGTGTTTGAGTGACACATTTTAATAAAGACAGTCTCTCTTCCCCCTTGTCTTTCACTGTTAGAACAGGTGGCACATATTTATTCCACAGTGTTAACTGAGCAGATACTGTCACCAGCATTATAGCAGTGAGCAAAACATGTTATACAGTACTCTCATGGCATTCATTCTACTCTTGCAAACAAGTAATGACCTTTAATCGCAGAGAAAAAAGAGGGGAGGGGAAAGGGGTGGTCCAGGGACCAAGCAGGGAGCAGTTAAATAATTTGGGATGCTCTTCCTTATAAGAACTCAACTTTCAGTTTTTGAAAGATGTGTTTGTTTGTTTGAAAGAGTTACAAAGAAAGAGAGATCTCTTACAACTGCTAATTCATTCCCCGGGTACCTGCCATGGCCCAGGTGGAACCAAGAGTCAAAAGCTTTATCTAGGTCTTACACGTGAATAGGAGGAGCTCAAGTGCTGGGACTATCCTCTATTGCTTTTTCCAGATCATTAGTACGGAGCTGGATCAGGGGGGTATTAAAGAAGCTAAAATAAAGGACGAGGGCTGGCTTTCGTGCTAAGACCAGTGTGGGACTGAGTTGGGATTTCCATATCGAGTGTTGGAGTTTCTGGGCTTGGCATCCTGCTCGGCTTCAGTGTCCAGCTTCCCGTGAGGCTGCAGATGATGGCCATGGTTGGGGAGTCCACAGCAGCTTCGTGGCTCCGGACCTTCTGTCCTAGACTTGGCACAGTCTTATTGCTGTAGGCAACTGGTAGTTCTCTGCAAAGCTCCCTGCCTGCCTCAGTCTCTTTATGTCTATCTTTTTTTTTACCCCTCCCATAAACACAAAAATCATAAATGTTGTTGATCTTTAAAAGCTAACATGGAAATCAGTGGGTTCCAAAGGAGCATCTACTCAAGGAGGCAGAAAGAAAGCACAAAATTATTGTTGGGGAGAAGGCTGTGTTTCCAGCTACTCACTGGGTGACTTTTAGAAAAAAGTATTGTCTACCATAATCAATACAGGGCAAAGAACAATACTGGAATAAGTCAATACTCATACCAGAAAAATAAGGTACCAGTATTAGATAATTTTGCCAGTAGCTCCCTACAATCTTCCAAGAACAGAGCATCGGTTTCCTAAACTTCTCAAGCACATAGAAAATTTCTCAGCACATTTCATTTGTGGAATAATTCGTATTCTAGTTATTGATTAAGCTATTAAATAGAAAAATAACTTAAGGGATATCTCATTATTGAATATGGATGAAAAATACAGAAAAAATGACAAATAGTAATATACCAAAGTTAAACGGAGTGTGTTCCAGGAATAAAAGTGAATTCAATATAAACATGCCAGTTTGAGTCTTTTTGCCATTAGATCAAAGAACAAAATGTATTAGTTTCAATTCAGTTACATTGTAATAAAGTCCAAAAATTCATTTAATGTAGTAGTTTTTAAAGATTTATTTATTTTTATTGGAAAGGCACATATACAGAGAGGAGGCGAGAGAGAGGAAGATCTTCCGGCCTGAATGATGGAGCTGAGCCAATCCAAAGCCAGGAACCAGAAGACTCTTCCACGTCTCCCACAAGGGTGCAGGGTCCCAAGGCATTGGGCCGTCCTCGACTGCTTTCCCAGGCCACAGGCAGGGAGTTGGACGGGAAGCGGTGCCACCGGGATGAAAAGCAGCACCCACATGGGATCCCGGTGCATTCAAGACGAGGACTTCAGCCTCTACGCTGTCACGCTGGGCCCTAATCTAGTATTGACTTAGGCAGACATGTATTTCTTGTAGGACATGGAGTTAGAAAGATAACACCTTAGGAGCAGGATATATGTTTATACATATATATGTATATGTAATATGTATCTATATTTAAATAAGCACTGCATGTAATGGCAGCACATCTAAGTTGAAAGAGGAAATCCGTTGCATGGCTCCTGATGCTAACTTGTGGCTGACCAGCAGTTCGTCAGTTTTCGGTGGGAGAGAACACTTGAACCCAATGCCAGTCACCGCGCGATCAAGCCTCAGATGGCAAGGACCCGTGTTGTGGCATCACGGGGACACTTTTTACATGATCAAGAAATTTTTACCATTCATTTGTAAAAAGAAACAGGCAAGAATCACCGAGAACACGTAGAACACCTTGGTTGGGATTTACTTTGGCATACGTGAAAATATCCCATTGTAAGGCATAACTTCAGTTGGGCCAGAGAACTATTTAGAATATGCTAATGATGCCATCTCGAGTCCTTACTTCAAAGATGGATTATTGAATAAGCCTTACTTGTTATGGGAAAGCCGTGGAATTATGAAGACAAGTGGCTTGTGTAGTGTATGCCGTGATGTTTAAAGTACAGTTGCTTTCAGAATAGGCTGGGTGAGCCCAGGATATGTTAACAACCTTCTCATAACAGTTTAACTGTGTTCATGGCAATATTATCCTTCATCAAAAAGAAAAAAACTGACCAAGTTTATTGTCTTACAGCATGGAGTATTGATAATAAAAAGTAAATTTTAAAAACATTCGTGTTATTTGCCCTGGCCAGGCGTGTGTTAAGGCGCTGAAGTCCGGTAGTTCATCGATTCACCGCAATGGTGAGAGAGATGGATGATGCTACGCCAAGGAACCGAGGGTTGCTGGATGGTTTCGCTCCGTTGTGCAGATAGCATTACTCTCCAAGCAAGTAAGGGAAGCCACTCATTCTTCAGACGCTAATGTCCCTTTTCTCTCCTTCTTGTGCTTTTTGCTCAGGGACCTGATGCCCAGGACCCTGGAGGGACAGATCACCATGGAGAAGACACCCAGCTACTTTGTGACGCGCGAGGCGCCTGCGCGCATCTCGGCCATGTCCAGGGACACCAAGCTCATCGTGGTGGTGCGCGACCCGGTGACCAGGGCCATCTCGGACTACACGCAGACGCTGTCCAAGCGGCCCGACATCCCCAGCTTCGAGAGCCTGACGTTCAAGAACAGGAGCGCCGGCCTCATCGACACGTCGTGGAGCGCCATCCAGATCGGCATCTACGCCAAGCACCTGGAGCACTGGCTGCGCCACTTCCCGCTGCGCCAGCTGCTCTTCGTGAGCGGGGAGCGGCTCATCAGCGACCCGGCCGGCGAGCTGGGCCGCGTGCAGGACTTCCTGGGCCTCAAGCGCATCATCACGAACAAGCACTTCTACTTCAACAAGACCAAGGGCTTCCCCTGCCTCAAGAAGCCCGAGGGCAGCAGCAAGCCCCACTGCCTGGGCAAGACCAAGGGCCGGCCGCACCCCGAGATCGCCGCCGAGGCGCTGCGCCGGCTGCGCGACTTCTACCGGCCCTTGAACCTCAAGTTCTACCAGATGACTGGCCATGACTTTGGCTGGGACGGATGATGACGCTATAATTAAAAAAAAAAAATTAAAAAATCAGAATATAATATATTTTTTTATCAGTTGGTAGAGAAAAGGCGATTTAATATTTGTGCTGAAAATGCTTGTTTCTGTATTTTTTTTTCCCCCTCATGAATGTTAAAAAAAGTTTGTTTTCTCACCCTTGGCCCATTTCAGTGTGCAACCAACGCCAATCATTTGGAGAAAAGAGAGAGACCAGGATACCTCCTGGCTCTGAAAGAATTTCAGTGTCCATGTGTAACGATGTATTCCATAGACCTGATCACGACTAATAAGCTTTGGTGGCATTAAAAGTTTTCAGAAAAGCTTGGGGGAAACATCTTTGTCTTTCCTTTTTTAAAATATGAGACCCGACACAAATGATGTCTGCCTTATCATGTTCGTCTTGCCTCTTCCTCTGCTGTTTTCTCTCAAATCATTTCCCGGTGAGGAATATTCTAGATGTGTGTTTTCGCGGTGCTTGCAAATATGGCCTGTGAGCCTTTTAGCTATGGTGGAGTGTAAAAGCAGAGAGAGTTCCACAGACATACCCAGTTCATAGATAAGGAAAACTGAGTCTCAGGGAAGTCTGAGGGCTTATGTTGAGGTGGATCCCGGCTAAACCACTTCTCTTCCACTTTTTGCGGAGATGCCGGAAGCTTTAGAACCAGTGAGCGCTTTCTGGATGAGCTCGTGGAAACCGTAGATGGTTTCCTTGGCTTTCTCAGCTTTCAACGTCACCTGACTCCAGGTGTAGTCCACGCAACCACTGGGCTTTGAACACAGCCTGTTTTACCAACCAGACCTGGCTCCAGGTTATTTAAAGTACCTTGAGGTCTTGCTTGACTGAGAGAATTGTTGGATTCTTACATGAAAGACAAGGCAGACAGCCACACCAGGAAGGAGCCGAGGTGTTGAAGGAAGGAAATGCATGGATCCTTTGGCTTGGATTCTTAGTTTTTACAAAAGAAACTCCCACTTCCATTTAGAGCTCACACTCTGTCATTTTTCTCTGCCTGTTCTGTAGGGAGAAAGTCTGTCTTCCTTTGGACTATCTCACTTCTAAACTCGGAGCTAGTAGTAAAAACAAAATTAATTTGTTTACAAGGCTCTTACGTTTTTCATGGATGGAGGACCGTCACTTTGTCGCTTTATTTTTCTCCTCATTTACTCTTTATCCCGGTTGTCGCTGTTCGTTAAGATTTGGAAAACGTTCTGAGAAATGGAGACGTGGGGAAAATGATGGCTTTCCCCCCTTCTGTTTCTTTCTGCTCATCTCCCATTTAAGTCGTTCAAATAAATCAATAGTTTATTAAGAGTATTCCTATCCTCTCAGAGTGGGTATTAACAAGATTAGCATTAATGGGAATTAAATTGGTTGAGAGAGGAACACATATGCACAGAACATATAAAACATCTATAATTAGTCTGTCAGCAACATTTTATTACAGGTTTAAACCCAAGAGGAGAGTGTCTCTCATTTTATAAAATCTTCCTTCTCTACCAACATTTAAAGGAACAGACTCTGTAGCATTCCAGAGTCATAGTCTACGTCTTCTTCAATGCTGTCAGTTAAAAAAAAAAAAAACAGTGGAAACTGTTATAAAATACGCAGTAGCATTCTACATGCCCCGTTGAGGTGACAGGTGATTTCAGCATTTTTTTTAAAAAGCTTATCACTTCCAATCAAGGAAAAGATATTTCTAAGTTTCTACATATTTAGAATTGCTCCGAAGACTTTGAATTTATTTGCTCACATCCTGTTTATGGATGAGTAAAGCCCCAAATCAGTGTCATGTTCCAGCTGATTTTCTTTATTTTCGTGCCCTTGATGCAACAGCTTTTTTTAAAAAAAAAAAGATTTATTTTTTATTTATTGGTAAGTCAGATATACAGATATACAGAGAGGAGGAGAGACAGGGAGGAAGATCTTCCATCCGATGATTCACTCCCCAAGTGAGCCCAATGGCCGATGCTATGCCGATCCGAAGCCAGGAGCCTCTTCCGGGTATCCCACACGGGTGCAGGGTCCCAAAGCCTTGGGCCGTCCTCTGGTGCTTTCCCGGGCCACAGACAGGGAGCTGGATGGGAAGTGGAGCTGCCGGGATTAGAACCAGTGCCCATATGGGATCCCGGTGCGTTCAAGGCGAGGACTTTAGCCGCTAGGCCACGCCGCCGGGCCTAATGCAACAGCTTTTTAAAACTATTTTTATTATGTTCCATGATACAGTTTTGTTGCTGTAGGGATTCCTCTTTGCCCTTCTCTGTCCTCATCTTTCCTCTCCCTCTAGTCTCCACCACATCGTTACAGCAGCATATCCTCCAGCAACAGTTTCGTGTTCAACATTCACTTGATTTTATTCTGCTTGAATCATCTCATAGCCACAAGAGTCTCATCTTAAACTCTACCCATCTCTTAACTCATTTTTTTTGTAGGCTTCTGGTTTGTATGTGCGTATGTTGGCTTGTCATCCTGGAGAAGTAACCTTTGCCCAAAGAAGCAACTGCCTTCTCACAATGAAACCCAGTAACCGTGTATGCGTGTGTGCATGCGTGCGTGTGTGTGTGTAAGAAATAATAAAAGAATTGAGTGTAAAGAACCTCTTCTGACACATGGACATTTTTGTTTGTATTCTGACAAACACGAATGGCTACAGAGCGCTCCAGGAAAACCTTCAAACTTAGGAGACTTTGTGAGGGTGTCTGAGGTGGCAGATACCAGTCAAATGTCTAAAGGTCTACAATCAGCATTGTCTCAATTTCTCCTGGGACAGGGATATTCCATTTGTCTCTCAGTGCTGCTGTGCGTGGGCTAGGTCTCGTAGTTCTGTGTCCATTTCTCTGCACCAAGCAATGATCTTTGATCTTTCATGGATCACCTCAGCATCCTACCTTTTAGCTGTCCACCTGAGACCTCACCCTCCTTCCTCGTCCCTTCTTGTCTTTCTAGGGGCACATCCAGAATAAATCCTTGGCTTCATGCTTCATTCTTTGCTTCTGAGGTCACACCTACAGTATATAAAACCCGTGACTTAGTCATTTGCAAGGCAAGTTAAGCTTATTATGAACACTGGACATTAACAAGCTTCTACAGATTCTTATTAGTCTACAAGGGTTATTATCACTCTTAATTTTCTTGTTTTAAAGGCTGGTAAACCTCAGTGGTAATTTGGATTAATGCCCACCCCCACTCAATACATCTCTTCTTGAGCTAGGATTCAAAACATGGGTGTGTCCATAAGCCTTTTTTTTTAATCACTTATTTATTTGAATGACAGACAGTGAAAGAGAGAGAGGGATCTTTCATCCACGGATTCATTCCCCAAAGGGCTATTGAAAAAGAGAATATATTTGCCCGATTTGTCCTCACATTCTGCCAGCTTTCACCTGTGGAGCTCTGCGACCCAGGAAAATGGTTTACCTTTAGCGTGTGATTGAGTCAGTGCATCTAAGAAATTGTGGCTCCTCAAAGTCGTAGCAGCTCACGCTTTGGAATGCATCATCTCGCTTGAAACTACTGGCAGTTTTTCTTCTTTCTCGTTAGTTCCACTTTGCCAATGAAGAAACTAAAGCTTAAGGCGGCAGTTCTCAGCACAAGGTAATTTAGTAGCCCAGGCCAGCATCTGAAGATATTTTTGGTTGTCTCTGGGTAAGGAAAGGTGCTTCTGGCATCTCCTGGGCAGATGACAAAGTCACAATCACTCGATCACAGATACAGAAATATAAAGATGAGTTGAGTCAAGGTTTCTGGCTTAACAAAGGCAAGTCGATGCTCACAAGCAGAGCATCTGCAAACTAAATCTAAAAGCTTGGCTTGAACTGACACTTGACTTACAGATCTTTCTGTTCCCACTCTGATTTTTGCTCAAAAAAAGCGCCTTTCTGGACATCTCTAACAAGTGACACATTCTAGGCAGCAGATCCACGGTGCTTCACAGGAGAACTAAAGGAAAGTGAGACTGAGTTTTTACCATGGCGATACGGGAGTTGCTTGGAACAAGCAGGTAATTGCATTTTCTGTGAAGCGGAATCAGTCAACTTCAGGTGGGAAATCATAGTCCAATAAAGCATTTCTTAAAGGCTCCTTCAAGTTCAAGTCTTGCGGTTTTCAATTTGCTTCCTCACGGTGCCATGACAATATTTCTTGCAACCTGACAAAAGCAAAGTGCCAGAAGAGAGAAGTAAATGTCTCCATTTCTGTTGGACAATGGGAACGCAGATGAATGTGCTGTTACAAACACCCTTGGGTGGCCGAGTAATGGCCAAGGGGAGTATATTCCTATTGCCATCTATCCCGGAAACCCCAGTGCTGTGTGCATAATTTCCATAGAATAAAGGAAGAGAAGCTTGTGGTTATGAAACATAGCAAGCATCATCACTAAGATTCAGTCTAATAGAAGCCTTCAGGTAGAAGTAAGAGACCCTGCTACAACCCCATTGACTCATATGATTGTTGGAGAAGAACTGCACTTTAAACATCTCAAATCTCAGGCAGGTGTTTTAGCCCTAGAGGTCAAGACATCCTATACCGGAGTGCCTGGGTTCATTACCCAGACCACAGCTCCTACTCCAGCTTCTAACATGGACACTCTGGAGGAGGGTGATGGCACAAATGCTTGGGTTCTCATCACCTCTTTGGGAGACGGGGCTGAGTTCCTGGCTCCCGGCTTCAGTCCCAGCCCAGCTGTTGTAAGCATTTGCAGTTGGAGTGACTGGGATCGCTCATTCATTCTCTCTCCCTGTCCCTCACTCTCATCCTAAACCTCAAGCCATGCTGAGGAAGCATCGTTGTTCTTACAAATGTTGTGGTCCCTGATACAGCTTCATCAAAGTGCAGATTTTCCTTTTTTTAAGATTTATTTGTTTTTATTGGAAAGGCAGATATACAGAGAGGAGAAGAGACAGAGAGGAAGATATTCTGTCCAATGATTCACTCCCCAAGTGGCCGCAATGGCTGGAGCTGAGCCAATCTGCAGCCAGGAGCCAGGAGCTTCCTCCAGGTC